TCTATGCTGCTTTCTTTAATTATATCAGTGTTCGTTTGGCCTAAAAATGGCTTCCCCTCAACATGAATCCCATTCACTTTCTTTCCATTTATCGTTTCAACCTATTTGTAACCTCTCATATTTGCATTCACCTTCAAGCTTCTTCCACTATCACTGTCCATGCATGTCCTTCGACATGAAGTGTTAACCTTCCTACATGCATTTCCTCTTAAAGTACTTACTACCGAAGTGTCGTTCCCTACAGTTCGCAACAGAAATTCTCGACAGATGGAATCGTCGACATATGAACTGTCAATCTCGACAGTTAGCCTCAATAATTCTCGACAGATGAGCCTATCCACCGTGGAACTGTCGGGAACGACAGTTCCTTTGTTCCATAGTTTTGCAAGTTCAAATTTGGTTCCGACATTGCACGTATTTTTCGCATTAAAAATACTGTTATGCTATGATGTCATGATTTTGTTCATTGATCCGTCGTTGCAACATCGTACGTGTGTTTCGCATTACTATTACTAAATTGTATGATCTCACGATTTGTTTATTGGTTCCGACATTGCATGTGTGCTTTTGCATTAACATCATTGCAATGCTATGATCTGGACATTTGTTGATTGATTCGTCATTGCACCTTGTTCGTCCAAATGTGGCTCAATTTTTTCCGTCTCTACGTGTCGTGTGTCTTAAAATACTATGATCCGACGTATTAAATTTTTGTTAAACTGTAGGAGGGTGCATGGATTTCGAATATCTAGTTCCAAAGAATGTGCGGTTGAGGGCCCACATCTCACAGCGAAGCAATCTACGGTACGTGAAGACAGTCCTCGAGCATTTTGACAATCGACAGCGTACGGACTTCCGTAACTCATGCCTAGGGTTCTTATCCGAGGTTCGAAATCTCCAATTCTCAGCCCAACTAATCCAGCAGCTCGTTTTTCGCTGCATACGAACTGAAAAGGCCTGCGAAATATGGTTCAAAGTGCAAGGCCACTTAGCCAGGTTTGGCCTGCAAGAGTATGCTCTCGTCACGGGTTTAATGTGTGGTCCTCTTCCAGATGATGCCGCGATGGACCGAGTTCTGCAAAAGAGGAGATTGAAGGATAAATACTTCAAATCAAACAACAGGATTTCATGTGGCGAACTTGAGAAGGCATTTCTCTGGCCGTTGACGCCCCAGGCAGATCTGTACAAGCTCGGGTTTGCTCTAATCATCGAAGGAGTGTTCAATACTCCGGATAGCCATGCCGGTATTGAACTTTCCACGCTGTCGATCATGGATGATCTGGACATGTTCTATTCCTACACTTGGGGTAGAGTATAGTACATTCATCTAATAAGGGGCCTCCGACGTTGTCTGGGACGAAAATTTGTAGATGCCACGAATAAGAAGGAGAAGGCGGTTACTTATACAGTTCACGACTTTCCCATTGCCATGCAGGTACTACACAAAAATTTTGTACAACGTATTCATTATTTCATCATAAATGTATTGTCATTGGTTCCTTTAATGTTCAACTCACACTTACTATCTGCTGTAACAGATCTGGGCATTCGAGGCAATGCCAGAAATTGGGGATCGATTTGCTCGGTGATTGGGTCATCAATCCCAACGGCTTCTGAATTGGACGTGTACCAAACAACCGCAGAAACGGACGTATGATGCATTCTTCAAGAACATTAAGGTATTGGATTACGTTTCATGCACGTGATCTGCATGTGTCGTTAGTCGTTACATTTGTGGTGACACTCAGTTCCTTTATGTTGCAGCTGCACGTGTCCGCGACGCTTCGTCCCACCAAAGTCAAGCTTGGGCAACCATATATCTCCACCCTCCTGCCGTTTGAAGACCGTACTGTACCTGCGTTAGACGACGCTGCAAGGGACATTATCCCTTCACAGCTTCACCCAGAGCCTTTGGCCAGTGGGGATAATGTTGGAAACTCGAGGGGAAAGTGCGCATTGGTTTCCAGTGGAGGAGGCTCTGAGGACGATGAGGAGTCGGGCGACAGTGATGACGAGGGAGCCGGTGAGGAGACTGGAGGTGATAAGAGTGGAGACGACAATGGAGAGGCCTCGAACGAGGGGGACAGTGAGGATGAGCATACTTGTACACCGCAGACTGGGACATATTCCACTCCCCCCATGCACAGACGTACTTTTCCCAGTCATGCACCCTCCATATCTTATGTAAGACAAGGTCAAACCTCTGGACCGAGCCTCACGAGAGCTGAGGTGGAGGAACTATTGCTGGATCAAAGAACGCTCATCGAAATTCGCCTCCGCACAATCAAGCTTGAGATCATGCAGCACGTGACCGACGAATTTGTGAAGGGCAGGGACTTCATTTCTACCCTCGTTCCCCCATCTCTCTCTAGAAATACTCCACCTACGGCTCAGGCGGTCAAAGAGCCCACAGTTTTAGGTAGTTTATTGCATGGTATGTGTACTACATTTAATTTTTGATCTACTATATGTTGCTTATGTTTGCTGACATTGAGTAAACGTGGGATTTGTGACTTAGACAGAAATAAGGGCGAGACCAACCCTGTCCCGGAATGTGCGGAACCACAAGGTATGTGCATCAATTACGATGGATTCATTTTCATGTCATCTTTAATATTTGATACTACCAAATACGTAACCCCCTTACGTCTTTGCAAATGTTGTTTTGTAGTGCATGGAAGAGGCTTCTCCCCGTTGCCGGTCGATCATGACGAAGATATGGACAAGGAAATGCAAGAGCGGAACAGTACGCGTGTTAAGTAATGCATAATATTTGCTTTCCTAGTTAGGTGTCACCTCATTCCGAAGTGTGTATACTATAAATCCTGAACGACACGCGGTTTCTAATATTGGGTATGTTGGTACTCATGCGTAGGTGGAGCCGGCATGGAATCCGAACTGGTAATGATCGATGACGATGATGAAGTAGCTTTCGGTGGTTCGGGGAAACGTGAGGACGACCATGTTGCGTCCTCTACTGGCGTAGCGGAAGCGGAGGGTAAGTACACTACGGTGGAATACTTTTATTTCACTGCGTACAGTAACGCGTAGTATTTGGATCATTTACTTACGTATGACCTCATGCACAAGTACGTATACACGACTGTTTGAGGTATACAGTGTTACTAATATTTAGTCGCATGTTAATTTGATACTAGGTGGATGTGGCATGGATTTTGAACCAGAAAAGAACGGTGACGATGATGAAGTACCTTCTGATGGTTCGGGAAACCGCTAGGACAAACCTATTGCGTCCGCTAGTGGCGTAGCGGGGGTGGATGGTAAGTAGATTGCGGTGGAGAACTCATGATGTCACCCTAACCCAAATTCGTGATGCAAATGGATGAAGTGCTAATTATTGTGGAATTGTTTTATAGGCGGTGCGACGAACATGCCGGGGGAGGCCAACATACCCATGCAATGCAATGACCCACCCACCATAAAGAGGCCACGATCGACACGCGTCCGACGTCCTGTTGTATCTACAAGGACTCCATACACCAGGAGGAGGGCGAAGAGAGTGAAGAAATAAGGTTTTTTTGGCAAAAAATTTACATGATTGCAAGTTTGTGTGGACCTCGTGTATGTGGAATCCAAATTCTGCCAGGGGCCAATTTTTCCTAGGTAAGCTCGATCGACAGTGTTGCGTTCCTGTTAGATGCAGTATTGAAGTGGTAGTCGTATGTTTATGTTATTCTAAAAGAGCATGTCGAATAGAATACGAATATTCTCCGTAATGTTCATATCACATGCAATTCAAAGATATTATTGTCGGATTTTCTAACGTGCACTTGAATATCTGTCATATCGTACATCGTCAATCATTATTCATTCTCCGTAATGTTCGGATCACATGCAATTCCAAGATATTAGTGTCGGAGTTGCTCATGTTCGCTTCAATATCTGTCATACCGTACATCGTCAATCATTACTCATTCTCTATAATGTTTGGATCACATGCAATTAAAATATATTATTGTGGCTTTGCATTATGTATGTTAGAGCACCATGGTGTCATTATTTGTTTAGTTGACTATTCTTGTCGAACATGCTGCATATTTACGTTTACCAAATTAACTTACATGATAACTTTGATATGATTATCTCATTTTTGCTTATTACAGTGCAGATGACAGTGCATGAAGATGCCTCAACCCCATCCATGGTCACTACATCGCAACTTACAGTTCACGTAGGGTGCTTGACAGGGGTCAACATTGTATTAACAAATTTTTTGTTATTGGTTGCGATGATTGTTGTTTGAACCGGTCCAAATTCAGTGATACTTTTGCTTGCCAAGCTCATCCGTGTAATTGTTGTTGGTTGCAATGATTGTTCTATAAACTCAGTACGCAGACGCACATGGATCATCCTCGATTTTTGTACATCATTTGTGAATGTGCTATGTCATAATTACTTGTACGAAGCTGCCATTTGTTGCTCTTTATGCATGCACGCGTCACTAGAAATTATGTATTCCAAAATTTCCACTAAGTCGAGAGTAAAAAAAAAAAGTAACAGCACAGCACAATTCATTTAACTTGTATTTAATGTAATGTTATAACAAATACATGCAGCAATATGGAAAAAATCTTACACATGGGTGTTAATTTTAAAAGTTATTTCACAATTTCTGGAAGGAGCAGGACATGCAAAAATTGAAAATGGAAATGAAAAGCGTGCTTAACTCATTCTAACTCATTGCCAGAATATTTCAATTCACATAACTCACATGGGTACTGATCTTCCAACCCCAGCCACTATTTAAGGACATATCCTAGGGATTAAAGTATAATTAGACCATCATCCATCACACAGTTGTCTATCAAATTTTAATTGGATGGGGTTTGGTGGTTGGGCACTAAATGAGCTTCAATGCATCTCTCCAAAAACTCTACTATATATAGCATGGTAAGTCCACATTATCATTGATACCTAAAATATTTACACTTAAAAATTCATGTTACAGTCTATACGTTTAGTACTCCACAGGTTCAGTAAATATTTTCATATCAACACAATGGCGTCGTCGACAGGGAGCAATGAATCATGAGGAGCCGCTACCAACACCCGGTTCGTCCCCACTATGTCCCATCATCATTACTTCGAATGATGACGAAGTGAGTTCTGAACGTGGTAGGAGAGCCACATCCGTTGTTCCTTTTCCGAACCTCGACGATGTTGCAAGTGAAGTTTCCCAGAGTTCGAAGACCGTGCTTGATTGGGTCATCCCACTGATGGTTCCGAAGGAAGTTGAGTCAGACGATGACACGTGGTTGGGTCATGTTCCATCTCCCGAGATCATTGTCATCAGCTCCGATGACTCGAAACAAGATGGTTCGAGTGTGGACAATCAATGAAGTGGCTAATATGGGTATGTGGTGCGTATGAAATAATGTATAGTTCGTATTTTGTCAGGGATGGATCTGGTAACATTGTCTACGTACTGTTTTCTTCATATTTTGGTATATTTTGGTGTTGGACCTACTATGGACAAGGACAGAAACAATCTGTCGGGAATGGCATGTATACTGTCGGGAACGATAGATTAACTGTCGGGATGTAAGAGTATAGGTTCATTTGTGTACGTGTGAAACTTGTGTTCCCCTGTATGGCTCCCTTGTTTACTGAAAATTGACGTACCCTAGAATGAACAAGTGCAATTTATTGACAACGTAGGTTGGTCGAGGTTATTTGGTTCGAGCTTAACACATCAACTTGGAAGAATCGAAAAATAAGTTATTTTTAAAATTCCTTGTACGTGGAGTTAGGTATGTATATGTACGTGATGTCTTATGAATTAGTCCGTAAGGAAAAAGTACTCATCAGGTCAGCCCTAAATCGTCCTTGAAACATACCATTTTTTGTTGCTAAATTATAAGACGACGTCTGCTGTTAAGAAACGAGAATGGAATGTAAACGAAATGTTATGCTTCAAAATAATTGTGTAAGTAGAGAGTGTAATGGGTAATAGTGTAGTCATGCAGCCATAAATATTTCGAACAAGTTAGATTATATACTCTGTAACCATCTGTCAGGATTGACAGTTTAACTGTCGAGATCATCTAAAGGGATATCTACTACAATATCTTGTAACTAGTTGCGATCATAAGAAACACTAATGTCAACAAACAAACGACAATGATGATAAAATGAGAACATTTACATTCTTTCATTACAAACGACATGGGGGTACCAGTTCACATACAACTTCAACCACTTTCGAACAAAACCCTATTTCTTACAAACGCCTACTTAAACGGTTTTTGGTACAATGGGGTTGGAACATGTGCTCCGATTATGACCTAGTCCACCACAGCGAGTGCATTTCCTTAGTCGTGTGGTGGACTCGAATCTGGGTCGTTGACGTCTTGTGGGTAGTCTACCTGGAGGATGACGTACATTGGGTGGCCTAATAGGAGTACCTGTAATTTCGTTTGGGACTATCCAGTCCACTTCACGCATAACAGGATATATAGCTTCGCTATAGGCACCTCTCCAGTATTCCGATGTGTAATACGGTGAGCATAAGTCGTAGAATGACATATCTCGCAAGCACGCAGCACGAGTGGCATGAACGCATGGCATACGATTAATTTGAAACTCACGACAAGTGCAACTGTTATCAGAGAAGTCGACGATGTCCGTGTCATTGGATATTCCAACCTGTGTTAAGTGTTCTGTCAAGCCATGACCTCGAAGCCTTGTACCTGCTTCAAACGTTGTCTGTAACTTGTTCTCCATCCTCAACGACATGTGGTTGCACTGGTTCGACGTTCGTGAAACCACTTCTGCATAGTTTGTCGAATGTGTTCGATCAAGCATGTGATCGGTAATGAACGGGCATGTCTCAACATTGAGTTCAAACATTCCGCATTGTTATTTGTCAAAATATTGTACCTTTAACCAACAAACAGTGCTCGTGACCAAAAGGAGAAACCTGCTTGCTCTAAGTACCCGTACGCTCTTGCACTTACCTTACGGATCTGTCCCATAAGTCTTTCAAACTCTTCGACCCGATAAGTTTGTACAGCTCGTTTGAATAGAAATGTTACACTTGCGTAACTTGCGTTGTTGTATCGCTGGACTAAGTTCTTTTCTAGATGCCGGATACAACACCCATGACGGGACTGAGGAAATAGGTGAGCAATGACATTGGAAATATTATTTTTTCGGTCGGAAACAAAAACCAATTCAGCAGAGTTGCCTATAAGCTCTTTCAAGTTGGACATAAATCACATCAATGATCTATTTGTTTCAGCATCGACAATCCCCGATGCCAAGGGATATATCTGTTTGTTGGCATCTTGGCTGGTTGCCAACAAAAGTTTTCCTTTGTATGGACCTTTCAACTGACTACCGTCAACATAAATAACGGGCCTCAAGTAACGCATGTAGCCACGAATGCTTGTACCGAAAGCTAGGAAGAAGTAATGAAACATGTTACGGGAATCAACTTCGATGTGGGTTACTGTCCTCGAGTTACGCTCTCCTAGAACGTGACAATAGGAAGGTAATTTTTGAAAACTATCCCCTGGTGTACCATGTAGCATATGTAAAGCAGTCACCTTCCCCCTATGTACTTTTTGATAACTTATTTTGACACCAAACTCGCGTTCTATGTCATGTGCAATAACGGTAGGATCGTATGATCGGTATGGATTATCCAATTTTTTGAAAATGTGCTCGGCAATTACAGAAGTAGTGGCATGTCGATGTACGTTAAGACGGATATCTACCGAACATGTGTGCACATTGTTGAATTTTCGGATCATCAATATAGAAGTCTGTTTCACACTCGAAGTACGTAACATCTACTTGCAATTACGGTCCACGCATGCAACGGTTAACATTTTGCGGCTTGACCTGTTGACATGAAATTGGAACTTGTCTTGCAAAGCAAGTACATGAATTTTTGAGTATAGCTCTTTCTTGCTCAAGAATATTTGCCGTTCAACAAGATCAGATGTATCCACAGCTGTAATCCATTGTCGTGACATTCGGGCGTCAACGTTTGCAATACTAGCAGCATCTGTACCATTGAATGGGTCGTCCAACATATCGTCTACAGGTGCAGCCCCATCATCAAAATTCGCCATTTCAACTGCATTTTTCATTGGGGAACTAGGCTCATGAATCATGTCATCGTGTTCCAAGTTCTGTTGAACATCCATTACGGCAAACAAATGGTCACGCAAATTCGTATCCCTCCCCATGTCAACAATTCTCATATCAGTTTCCAAAATAGTAACGCACAGAACAGTTTCCGTATGAACAGATATGTACCACATGAGGTCTTCATCTTCACGTATTTCAGCTGGCGGTATATTCATGTTCGGGACTTTGAACTTCAATTCCATTTCGGTGTGCGGATCGATAATACCAAGTTTGTCATTCAACCGTAACAGAAGTCCGGCTAGGGTAATATTTCTCGGTACTAAAATGGATGTGGTTTTGTCCCCTGTCCACTTCCATTCGTCATCCGCGTGAATAAACCTTCCTCCATGCGACATGATGAATCTTAAATGGGTGTTCATACCTAAAATAAAGGGATTACAACGATAAAAATTATGAACAGTCAATATGTCGATATGTAATAGCATGGAAGGGGCACTTTCGAATATTTAAACCAATGCAATAGGAGAATGTGAAATGAAGGGTGTCAACAGTTTTCAACTGTCGATTTTGAAAGTTGAAAACTCTATCCCGACAGTTTATCTATCGATTTTGACAGTTTCTAAATATCGAGATCAACATGTCTAACCGTCGAGTTCGACAAATAAACTGTCGAGACCGCCGACAAGTTTAAGGCATGTTTGTTTATTACTTTCTCCGAAATATTAATGGTTATAATCAATTCTCAACTACAACAATTATTCCATTACTCTATAGATCTCCATAAATAAATGACTGCTTCTTTAAATATGGAATAGTTGACATTTGCCTAAATATTTTTGGTATATTTTCCCTTTAAAATGATATAAAAAAGAAATATCAATACCATCATCATTTTAAATGCTTTCTTCACTTTGATGATCATGTTGCTTTTAATATGTGAAAAATAATAAGCTATTAGATAAAAATATAAATAATTTGTAATAACTAACATCTCAAAATGGATGTTGAATTGAATAGCAATATATTGTTGATGAAAGAATAAAGAAGATGAAAGAAAATGAAGGGTTTCTTCAAGAAGGGATGTATTTGATGTGAAGTATGAAAATTAAATAATGAAATCATTACAATTGATTGGATTGGAGACTACCATTAATGAGCATTTAATGCTCCTAGAAAGGGGAGAATAAGGGTAATTTGGACATTTTCCACCAAAAAAGTGACATTTTTGATAAAATTTAGTGCACCTCAAAAGTTTTATAGCAATTTTAAAAAAAGTGTCATTTTTGATAATTCCCCTTATATAAATGATAGTTACACCGCGAATATAAAACCTGGTTTCTTTCTATTTCACTTCAACAATATTTTATTATAAGCCACCAAAATTAGGATGATGATGAACTTATTTTCTCTCCTTAATCAGTTGATTGATATTATATATTCTATTCATCTTTACGTAATTTCATGAGAAATTTCTTTATTCCTAAAATCCTGCCAATTTTAGCTTTCTTAAATAGTTTTTTATTGCAAAACACTTGGTAAATCTCTATTTTTAATGAAATTTTAACAATTTAGTTCTCTTGAATCAACTGTTTGACATAATATATACGTGTAGATAGAACCCAAATTTCAGACCAAAAACTTGATTTTCTTCCAGTGATGTCAGCGACTCAACCATACATATTAGTGATTTACGTGATGAATTGATGGGGATTCAAGTGAATCAATTCTGGGAAGGGTGCAAATTCAACAAGTAATAATGTCGCTAAATTTCATTTCAATTGAAATCAAGACAATAAATTCTCAACATCTGATCAATTATAACCATTTGATTTCATTGAATGAATTTGTGCTACTCTTTTATCATTTTAGTTATTTTCTCAACGTGGACTTTTTCCTTATCTCATTTGTTATTGCACTTGTAAAATAAAATGTTATGTTGAAGGGCCTCGTATTAGTTAGTCACTTAAGGCCTCTAAATTCTCGAGGCTAGTCGTACTACTAAACATGCAACATGACACGTTAATTAATGTCATATTCGTATTCTTTTTCTTTTTTTCATTTTTTGGCACTTTTATCAACAGCATTTCGTAGAATATTTTCTTATCCCTAACGGCTTTCATCCAAAGTGCATCAAAATGTTTGTGCTAATTTTCAAAGCCATAACAAAACCTTTTGACATAAATATTCATATTTGCTAATTTATAGAAGATTGCTCATAAGAATATGATTTAAAAAAAAAAAAGAAAAAAAAGGAAGGGGTGATTAAATTTAGCAATAGAAATTAATTGAATATATTGTTGTAATTAAAAATATGGTGCACCAAAAGAGAATTTTATTACAAATATAACAGGGAGCATTCCTCCTACAATGATTTTGACAAGTGAATTTGATAAACAATCTCAAGGCTTAATTTAAATCAATTTAAAAGTCCAGATTCATTTTCTTGATATTTTTAAAAAAATTAGAAATTGGCACCACCTAACCCCCGGTAATTTGCCAAATGAGCCTTCGCTAAAGATTAGTTCCTCTTCCGCCACAGCCCCTCCGTGTCACTCTCCTTGTCATCTTCCAGTTGTTCTCACAACTTATTTGAACGATTCACCTCTTTGAATCACTTGAAGATCAGTGAGAGCTCTTCCAATATTCATAATTCATCGATCCATAATAATATTAATAGTAATTATAATAGAAGTAGTAATACTAATGGAATATTATCCTGAGATCTAAATCGAATGGTGATTGTAATTCTTGCAAGAGTTTGGAGTTTCTCATAATTAATTCAAGTTGTTCATTAACATTCCAAGGACTGGGGAGTCCCGATGAGGGTTTGGAGTGTAACAAGTTGAATATTAATTGGTGTATGATTAAAAAAATCTGGATAATGGGAAGGAGTTTTAGGTGAAGGAGGTGAAGAAAGATGGACCGTGGAAAAAGATCAAGGAAGTGGGGATGGGGCGACAATTAACAATGGAATGGTTCTCTTCTAAGATGTGTGTCGGGCTTCGCCTATTGTGCAGGAATTGATGAGGTAGGCAGATTTAGGTCGTGGTGGGCAGTGCCAATTTACGATTTTTAGAATATTTCGAGAAAATAAATCCAAACCTTTAAATTGATTTAAATGAAGAGTTGAGATTATTTGTTAAATTTACTTGTGAAGGAGCTTTGCAAGAGGAACGCTCTCCAAATGTAATTATTATTTTTATTATATTTAGCACACCAAATATTGGTTAAAAAAACAACTTCGAATGAAAAAATAAAACAACAAATAAAAAAGTTCAATAACTTATTTGTGCATTATTTCACAGCAGCCTAACAAAATATTTGCATTAAGTCATCATATTTGTAAACTAATGAAAGATTGATTAGGGATGGTAATTTGAACCGTCAAAATCGAAAATCGCGATTAACCAAATCGAATGGGGCAAAAAAAATTG